GAAACATTATAATTTTTTCCTAATAATATGTAAATGTGAATTCCGTTTTAATTCATTAACCGATCTAAAATACTTAAGGCATTTACAAAAACTACATACAATTATACTAAATTTATACTAAATTGATGCAAAAACTATATTACATATACATAATCTTTTTTGTTTATTATGCATTTAGCAATTTATATGAGGTTTAAAGGTATTTATGGATGGCACATGTATATTTATGTGTTTTGCAGTTGAATGTTTCTTGTTTTTGATAGATAATGTCAATAATAACATACACTTTATTGAATACATTCTTTTGGTGTCCTGTTAAAGTTTTCAAAAAGCTACTCATTTGTCATATTTCTAAACCATCTTTTCTTTTACGTATCGGTAATTAGTACAGTTATTGAGGATAAGTATTTTGTATGGAAGTCAAAATACCATATTGTTTATATATTGCTACCTTTATCACAATTTATTTGACATACAACTTTATTTTATTGAGGTGATGAGCGTCTCGCATGTTCTAAGTCAATAATAACAACAATATTTAACACATCATTACCATTTCTGATGGTGAAAACTTTATTCATGACTAAGGCATACATAATGTGCCTTAAAATATAGAAATTGTATAATACCGATCACTGCAGTAGACTGGTGGGTTTCCAAATTATAATTGTATCAAAGCCGAGAGACTTTTACATTGAAAAAGTAACAGGGATCGAATTATATACCAAAAGTAATTACGTGTTTTAATAGAAAAGCTGGAGATTGTAGGTACAACTATAAGTACGTGTTCTGTAGCTGCCGCACTGCTTACGAAGCCAACGTTCTTAGATATAATAAAACTGAACTACAAATACGTGTTCTTACAATATGTTCATTATCTATATCCAGATGAATTTTGAATAAACATTATATCACTGCTCATGCCATTCAACCTCATGAAAATATACAAACATATTTCTTTCAAACATATATATTGAACAAGTATTTCGGCAGAGCTCCAGAATTTTTTTTAGACAAGGGGTTTTTACCCCTCAAAATCTAGAGTGAGGGGTAAGATGCAAATTCTGAATAACGTAAGGGATAAAATCTGTGAAAAAAAGCATTTTATATTATTTATAACAACAAATTAAACTGACTGTTTTTGTTTGTTTGTTTTTCTGAGAAAAACTTTTACAAATAAAATATGATTCAATGTGAAACAATACAAGACACGCTCTGTACCTAGGCTAGAGTATACATGTTACACAGTAAAATTATTTCATATTAAGAGTCATTAATATGTTTTTGTTGGCATTTAAATATTGAAAATGTATCACACGATTTTAAAATCTGCCTTTGTCAGTTCTTGAACAATTATCTACATATTTTTCTATGTACTACAGTTTGAACAATTATAGTTGAAATTAGAGTTAAAGAAAAATATACATGAAAGATTTATATCCCCCATAAAAAGGTATTGGTCTGAGAGAAATTTGTCCGTACATGTATATTGCATAATTGTGAAAAACACGTTAATTTGTTCAATCAACAATAGTGAAAGAAATTAAAGTTGATTCTTGTTCATTTATAAGCATACGTATAGCAATAGATGTCTAAACAAATTTAATCCTACGATGATAATCTTGCACATAAATTTTATCAATAATTTCAATTACCAGAGTTACCTCCCTGGAGATCTGTACTTCCTGCTTCTTTTGTTTTTAACGTGCTTTGTTGACAACAGAATGTTTAGTTTTCAATGCAATAAAATAGAAATATATTTTATTTTTATGCTAAAAAATCGTATTTTCAAATACCAAATGTTAACAATTCTATTCTTCACGCTTCACGTTCTAACATATAAGCGTATTTTTATTTTGTTGTGCGGAACTTTGAAGCATGAATTCTAAAAGTGATGCGTATTTTAGATTTTCTATGCATATTGCACGCTGATACGCATGTTATCTGGAGCTCTGTAAAGGACCAGGAATCGTATTCAAAATTTAAAACAACAAAAATACGTATACTAACCCGCGATTTTAAAGTTAAAACAATTTGACTAATGCAAGATTTTTCTTCTGGATTTGCTTTCGCTTAATGTTCTATGATGTGTTTTCAGGGGCCATTTCATACACCCCGCATATTTTTCGTGGTAATACTCTAGTGAATTAACAAAATATTTATAGTTCTGAATTTGTATTATGTTTAATTTCTAAAAAAAAGTTGGCAAAAAGTCAAAAAATGTTTCAATAAAGTTGTCATATTACATGGCATAAAATAATCATAATACTAGAAAAGAAACTGTTTCTAAATGGGCCGATGTGACACTTACTTAAACAGCTTCAAAACACCCCCACTTAATCCATATAATATATTATTGGTAAATTTTCTTGCAAATAAAACGAGCATTAATAAATTTAATTAAATAAAAAATAAAATTTTGATTAAACCAAGTGCACATAGCTTTAAAGATATGTGTTATACAATTCATCACATTATAAGAAAAAAAGTGAATTAAGTTTTGTGCTTTATGTTTATCATGCAGAATGAATGCTTTCAGAAAATATTATGGAGATTCCAATTCACTGTTAATAATTACGTGTTATTATTTGATTGTAATTAGACATAAATAGAGACGTGCCGCTGACTCCATTTTTTCATTGACAGTTTATTTCATCATTCTTTTTCAAGTTATCAGTTATTTAATATTAAATTGATAAATGTGAACTTGATAGCTATTATAAATATACAACTAACTTTTCCTATACATGTACATTCCGTGTACCGGCAAATACAACGGAATTTTGATAGACAGTTACATTGTTGTTACACAAGAATGTGTTTTTGTTTTTATTTTCCCGCTCCCCTTTCACGACATTAGTAAGTTCCAAGTGTGAGCATCGTGCGGAAGCATGTGGGGACATCGTGATTTTCTTGTTAATTATCTTGTGGCATCACGTTCGCAGCTAAAAACAAACACGCAGTTAGTTATCAATATCTCACAACTAAAACTAGAAATATCATGGAGAGAGAACAATGAGTGATTAAATTTTTTAATAAAACTGTGAATTCGTTAGGTATATTCACCGTACATTTCGTCAACTCTGTACAAAAAAGTAATAACGTGGGTTAGCAAGGACATATAATGTATAATATTTTAATAACCTGGAATACAAAGTCTCCGAAACTTGATAAATCCGCAGAGAACCGTCATGTACAAAATGTTCAAAGTGCTACAGAATAAAACTTCAGTGTGTTTTGTAATTATCTTTCGCAATGCTACAAAAATCAGCACTGTGAATGAAACACTCCTTCTATCGAGTAAAGCATATTGTAAAATCAGATAGTTACACAAGGCTAATATTCCACGAAGTCTAAAGTAGTTTGCGGTATTAAATGTTCGCAAAATCTAAATAAAAATCTAAATATAAGAACACCGGTTTGGTTGTCGTCCAAATTAAGAAGCAAAATGCTGCCGGTGATGATGTTATCCTGTTTGTTTTTGGTCTTCCTGGGATCCTGACCGCTGGTTCTTGTTGCTGGGTCCAAAGATTCTTATTCGCCATACACATGGAAAATCTTTTGCTTCTTTTGCTCTGTTGGCATTTTGTATTCTTATAGTGAATAAGTAGTTTGTATGGAAGTCAGAATACTTATTTGTTTACATTTTGCTACCTTTACTACTCATGATGCGCATTTATGCTACTTTCTTCAGTTGTTAAACATCTAGCATGCTCGTAATCCATTTTTGGATCATTATTAAACACATGTTTGACGTTTTAAAGTTGAATAAAGATTGTGACGGTTCAGTTATTAGGATTAAAGAAAGTGTATATACTTCGCCTTTTACAGGTGTAGCAAGACTGCTTTAGTCATACTCCAATTTTCCAGTTTCACAGAAATGACGTTTTCTGCAAACATGGCCGTATTAGTCCCAACATCAAACAAAAGTTTCAAGGAAGAACTTAAAAGTATGTTTCACCAAATATTACACTGAGCAGGTCACAAAATAACTGCGGGAAGATCGAATAGTCGAGGATATTAACTTAAAAAAACTTCAACAATGAAGCCAATCAAAGCTAGATGGCTGATGAAAGTTTTTGATTATGTTAAATGAGACAAAACATTGGTAAACCAACATTCAATAATCTCGTTATATATATATATATTATATTAAACGGGTGATTAAAGAAATAAAATTGACGACAGTATATCTAGCTATAGACACTTGTATCAGTCCCTGAATGACAAGCTGTACATAATTTCATTTGAAATAAATTGATTGCATTTTCAATAAATGTTATAACAACAAATAATTTATTACTTCGTACACATCTTTTATATAATAAAGCATAAAGTTAAAAGCAAACCAGGTCCGAATATCTTGTAAGTAATGGCAGCGTGGCAGAAATAAAAAAGGCGAAAAATAATCATCGCGTAAGTGTCTGATTGTACAGTTGTTGAACAGTAGGAAAGCTAATACGAATCATTCTGGTTAAATGGATCACGCCCCTAATCATCATAAAACGTACAAGAAGAGCAGTTTGTAGTTAGACACATATTTACAAAGATTCGCTTTTACATTATTATTATGGACAGTGTTATTCCGTATGCCATTGTTACAGTTTTATCGCTTTGGAACTTTATCTTTAGCGGAAGTGTTATAATCTGTTTCATCGTAAATCGTAGAGCAGTATGGCCACAATACGCAGCAAATTTACGTTATATGATGTACACAATGTGCCTTCTTGGGTTTGGTATGGCATGTGTAAGTGTACCATCTATAATTAGCTTAAAAGAAAACTCGCTGATCATTTGTCGAATTTTCAGCACCGTTTTGGTTTCCCAGCTGGTCCAGAGTTCATGGCAATCAGCTTATATTTTCTTACAGCGGTTTCAAATTATATGGACTCATGCTAGTTCGATTTCAAAACCATACACAGGAAACCAACGCAAAAGGATCAAACTTGTAAACGTTTGTTTGTTTATCATATCTAACGTGTTAGTTGGAACATACATATTTACGTCAGAAATAGACAGTGCAGCTCAGTTAAAGACTCACTGTGGGTTATTAGTATTTGAAGATGTATCTTAGGATTCCAAGTATGACCAAGGACACCAGTATCTTTCATTTCAGTTCCGTCTTCTTTTGTTATTAAAGAATTTACTTTATCACTGTTTGTAAGCCATTCTCTAAGATTCATGGAGGCATCCTTGAATATTTGTTTGGATTTCAAATATAGTTCAATAGCTTCAGTTTCTGTTTTTACTCCTGTCACAACGTTGTCAACATAGATGTCATTTTTTATCTTGTTAGCTACTTCTGTATCATATCTTTCTAAATGACTCTCCACAGTGGCACCTAGTAGAAATGGGCTCGAGATCACGCCGAACGGAACTCGACAAAACCTAAATTCTTGAATATTTTGTAAGTCAGTACTTGGTTTTTCACATGATTTTAACCACAGAAATCTTGTCACGTCACGTTCACTTTCTTGCAAACCTATTTGTAAAAATGCCTTTTCGATGTCTGCTATAATAGCTATTTTGTGTAGGCGGAATCTCATCAAAAGTCCACATAAATCATGAAGCATCACCGGTCCTCGATGTAAACATTCGTTTAAACTGCTATATTCTGGTTTACATTTTGATGAAGCATCATAAACTACTCGTACCTTTGTTGATTTTTGTGGATTTATCACTGCATGATGTGGTATATAATGTATCAAATCACCTTTGGTATCATTCACTTCTTCTATAATACCTTTACTTAATTGTTCCTGAATAATGGAATCATATTTCTCCAACAGTTCTGGTTTGTTTCTTAACCTTTTGACACATGATTTTAACCGTCCGAATGACAATTCCTTATTAACTGGCAACAATTCTTTTCTCTCTTCTTTCCACGGCCATGTGACATAATATCTTCCGTTTTCAAATTTCAAAGTCTCTTTGAAACCTTCCATGACCTCTTTGTCTTCAGACGTCTCTTTTTTTTCAACTACACCTATGGCTTCTGTATTCCAAAGATCTACAAGTTCTGGTTTCAAAGGAAGCGAAGAATCAGTAGATTGAAATATTTTTGATGCAGTCTGGCAATCTCCGTATGTTAAAATCAACAAATTTGTTTCACTTCCAGTTTCGTCAGAGTTTTCATCAGTTCTTCCTGTAAGTAGCCAGCCTAACTTGGATGCAAGTAGATATAATCCAGATTGAATTTCTATTCTTTGTGGGAGAACAATATCAAGATAGAAGTCGTTTCCTATTAATAACTCAACACTTGAAAATTCATTTTCCTTTGGAATATTGTCTGCTAGGTCTACACTATGAATTATGTCCTTGATGCCATCTTTTCCTAGAACGTTTATTTGTTTCCTTTGAATAGTTCCACTTATGACAGGAACAATGTTTGCACTTATACTCATATGTTCTCCATTCTTTAATTTTAGCTGTAATGTTGTCGAATGTGTGTGAACTGTCTTTACATCTTTGCTACCAAAGGTCACCAACTTAATTTCTTCCATCTTTTCCTTTTTTAACTTAAGTTTCTCTGCTAGTTTTTCCGTAATATATGTTCTTTGTGATCCACAGTCTAATAAGATTCGCACTTCAGCTCGTTTATTATTATGAGAATTCAAGATTTCTGTCCTAGCTGTCTGCATGAGAACCATTTCTCCTGAAGATATCATTGCATTTTCTTCAGTTATATAATCTGGCTTGGGTATGTTTGTTTCAATATTGTCTTGTATTGTTTCTTTCGAAACAATAGCTGTTTCTCTCCTTACAGCTCCTTTAAACTTTTTCGGGCAAAGACTTCGATGATGTACATTTGATTTGTCACAGTATACACATATTCTACTACTTCTACAGTCAGAAGACGTGTGCCCTTCTCTTAAACATCTAAAGCAGCATCCTTTTAACTTTGACTTTCTTTCTTCAATAGTTTTGTATCTATTACATTCATCACTCCAGTGATTTTTGCTACAGTATCTGCATATCTTCGCTGATGGAAGTAAAACTTTCCTTTTCTCATTCGCAACTAATGCTCCTCCAGAATAGTTTGTCTGTGGTTGGCTCTTATAACGATTTGACATGCTCGTATGTCTATTCATATGAGGATTTGTTTGTTTATTCACATACTGACTCGAGTCATTCAGAGACTTTGGTTTGTCAGATTTTTCCCTAGAAACTATGTATTTACGAAGCAAATCCCGTAACGTTTTAATACACCATTTAGTATCAGCACCCTTTTGTATTTCAAGTTGAAGAAGAACTTCACTGGGAAGTTTGCTTCTAATCATAGACACAAACACTTGTTGGTCTAAATTTTCATTCATCACTTCTAAGCTGCGTAAATGACGCTCAATCTTGTCGAAAAAGAATCTTAATCCTTCTGTAGTATTCTTCGGTGGTAAGATATTCACTATACCTTTGTAATGTAAATCAATTATATCCTGGAGGTCACCGAATCTTTCACGAAGAATATGAATAGCTATATCATAATTCTCATTTGATAATGTCAGCCCAGCAATGGCACTTCTAGCTTCACCTACTAATTTTCCTTTCAAATAATTAAATTTATCAATAGGAGAAAGCTTATCATTTTCATGTATCGCACTGCGAAAAGAATCCCAGAATTCCGTCCATTGAAGACGATTTCCACTGAATGAGATCATGTCCAATTTGGGTAATTTCACTGTATTTGTACTTTTATCTTTTAAAGCATGTTGTTCTTCAAAGAACCTTTGTTGTATTTCCATTTGCTCCTCATTTCTTCTTTGTTGGTTTTCAAAGAATTCCTGTTGTAGTTTCAATTGAAGCTCACACATATGCTGTACTACAGTTTCTGCTCCTTTACTTTCTAGTGGTTTGTATTCTACATTAAGCCTTTTCATATCTTTTTGAACATTTTCAAGTTTATAAACTATAGTCATTGCTTTGTCCTGTAAGGCTGAATCATTATCCATGACTACTTGTAAGAATTCACTATCACTGTCTCCAATAGCTAAAGCAATTTTTTCAGACTGAATTGTAAGTTTTTCCGTGTAATTATTGACTTTTTTCTTGCATTCGTCTATCCTATTTTCTATCCCTGCTTGCTCCTCAGCATCTATGAGCATTACATCTGAATATTCAGACAATAGCTGCTCCCCATTTCCAATCTCTGTATCTAAGAAGTTGTAAAATCGTGTCCGAACACCTTTTAGATATGACAAGTTAGTATCGCCCATCATGAATTATTCACTGCCGTATTTCGCTGAATAAAATATGATGCATATAACACTACTTCAAAACAAAATATACTCACTTTTTCTTGTTAATTCTCACCACGTGGCATTAAAATTCCTCAGCTATTCATTGCCTACTTTACTTACAAAACGGGAATATATAAACATTCAAATAAAATATTTTCACAAACATTTCAACTGTAAAGTACAGAACACATGTCTTCATAATACACATTTCATCACAGAAAATCACACGTGGAAATACAATATCACATTTTTAGATTTTTAGAACTTTACACAAGTTGAAAATATTTCCAAAATTGATTTTCCTTTTTCCATCGAAACACTTTTTAAATTCCTCTTTTTATAAAACACTTTTCACAAAAACACTCATCCGGTTCGCGGGACCAATTTCAATGTGGTGGAGATTCAGGTTTTACACCAACATTGAAGACAAACTTTTTATTTCTTTTTCAATAAACACTTTATTTTTAATTTCAAACCTTTTATAAACTTTATAGTTCTTATTTTAACTAAACATAACACACCGTGTATATTCCAATGACTGTAATGTCCGAATCTAACAAATGCTGTGAAAGGGCGTGTTTATATAGGCTAATTTACCGCCAAAATGTAACATTACAAGAAAAGCAAGAAAAGTGAGAAAGTGTGGCGTGGAGCAAAGCATAGAAGTATAATTTTCCCGCCTTTCTTATTTTTGGCGGGAAGTTATTATGTACAAAGACGAGGAGCAATAACATATAGCTCATTCATTGATAATAAAATAAAATAAACAAAATAATCGTGTATTTCACGACAATAGTACTGTCTGTGGTCTTGGTTTGTCATAATATAAAATACTCCAAATATTCAGCATCAACGTACTTACATCTGAACAGACTTTCCGAAGAAAACACTTGCAAGGACACACAGACAACTGAAGGTAGAAATGAAAGAATCGAAAATTCAACATCTGCCATACTTGATAACAGTAAGAGAAACGGTAATGGCATTGGTCTAGTTGCAATAATTGTAGATGTTTCCAACGGTGAAGAGCAGGCACAATATTGCAAAAAACATGACATATACGAGGGGAAATCCGAAACTTCAGCAAAGTGTTCAACAATTGAAGAAAAAGTGGACGTTGGCGATTACAATGACTTAAAACGATGCATGGTTTGTGAAACTTCTAGCTCGGACAACACAGCCCATTGTTCGAACAACATTATTCTTAATTCAGACGACAAGAAAGTCAACGAGTTCAGCAACATGAGTGTTAGATCTGACAAAGAGACAGGACTAACTGAACCAAGAAAAAGTGTGAAGACACAGAAGAAAGCAGAGCATCACCCTTCAGAAACATCTCCCTCGTTCGTACCAAAAAAGGCCCCTTTAATCTCAATTATTTCAAATGTTGTCCATGGTGTTACTGAAGATCACGCGGAACATTGTAAAAATACTAAAATGGACCAAACTCTTGATATAGAAGATTCTAACGTTCTGCTTTATCAAGGAAAGACACATAACACAGAATTAGAAAAGCAAAAGAAAATCTGTCTCTCAAATATCCTTTCTGCTAATGCTCCAGTCACTAACCGATTAAATCGTAATTTGCAAACTTCACAACAGCACCAGGGCAACAGTCTATGGCGAGACATTTTGTCTTGCGTTCAAAGACCATGGAAAAACAACAAAGCTACACCACAGCAATTTGAGAGCCCCAATCGAGCCAATCGTCAGGACTATTTAGCGACAACGTTACTGAAACGAAAAACGCAAAAAGTTATTTCGCGAGCTATGCTAGATATTGGCATTACTTTGATGTTCGAGTCAATTTTCCCTGTCCTCTATCTGTTAGTCTGTTCAGCAGTTTTGATTCAGGGATCATCAGATGGATTTCATGCACTACGAGCTGCATCAACTTTACTGATGTTTACGAGCAACTCTTTGAAGACAACAGTGATGGTCGTTAGATGTAAGATACTGAGAAAGGCTTTGCAGGAGATGTTTTGCAAGCTTTACAGGAAACAGATTTGATGAACATTAGGTTTAAAAGTCGTGTGTAATGATACGGTGCATCAGTTTGAACGGAGAATGTAGAAATATATAATTCATTTTATATTAATATAAGATATTGGTGTTCTGTGTAAATTAAAGGTTTCATATAGTATGCCAACCTACACAGTCTAGTTAATTTAACATTCACGGCCTTGCGTATTGTCACAAATTTTATTTTGTCCAAGCATCATGCCTTTTGTTTGAATCATCATTTGTTGAAAATATGGTACATATAATCGACAAGAAAAGGCGGCGTTTAATGAACGCAACCATAAACGGGGCAGCAACAAGAAACTTCTTATTATTAAAGATGGAGATCTAGCATACATTCGGAATTTAATTGAGTTAAGATGCATACAATGTGGCATCATCAAACTATAAAATATCAAACATAATATATATGTGAACTCAGTGACATAATCATTTTAGATCACCCTTTCCTATAAATAGTCAAGATGTTCTTAAAACATTGTCAATCGTATTGCCTGCTTTAAAGACGCCAGATAAGTACCGACTAACTCGTTAAGATACCTGGTTACCATCATGTACGAAGAACAGTACTTAAGGAAGGATCAGCAAAGTTTGACAATGTTTCCCCCGACGTTGCATCTGATACGGACAAGCAAGGACGCTGATTTATAACGACGCCAAGCATAAACAAAACTTAAATCAACAAAGGTCTATTTAAAATAACAAGAATAAAGATCAACAAGGCAAAGACAACGTTCACAGGACGCTGTTTAAGACCATAACGTGATTATATTAGACGCTGGCCGAGCCTTACGCTACACATGATGGAGTTAACAGGTTAAACATGTGTGCGTTCTGGGCAGTTATGTCAAAGATGAAATGAATATAATGAGTGTAATTCTGATAGCTGTGCATACGCATTATTTGTGTCTGATCAGTTGTATAACTATATATCAATGGTATAATTTTTGAGTTATTGTCTTTTGTAAAAGTTCATACTCATTCTCCATCCAGGGCATGACTAGAAAAGCACCCGCTAAAGATATCAATTACAGCTCGATTAACCTTAATAAGGAAAAACATACGGTTTTATAACTCACTTATTTATTATTTGGAGCTTTTGAAGAATATGCAGCTGTAATAAATGATTTTAATGCATTTAAGGATATAAGTAGTGATTCCAAGAAAAATAATATATCTTGATTTCAATTATTTGAAAAATATGCAATATTATTAGTTAATATTAAAATAACGTGTATTGTTCTTATTACATGAAATGAATTTAATTTTGAGCATAAACACGCTTTCGCTACAATTAAATCCTAAGATTGCAATTCTAATATTAGCGTTCTCTAAATAAATGACCAACTAAGATTGCATGATGTCAAAATATTATTTAAAGGTCATTGTACCTCAAAAGGACATGAAGGATGTCCTTTTGTTTGGCACTGATAAATGTAAAGGTCCTTGTATCAAAATAAGCTCTGTGAAACAAAATACTTGTAAAGCTTTCAATTTATATTATTCTGGTGTCGGTATCATTTCAACGAATTTGCTTGTTTTATTTTATGATGCTTTGTGAAATATTGTTTTTTTTAGTTTTTATTATATGCCCGAAATAATTTCGACATATTATGTTAAACCACCTGGCGTCCGTCTGTCTGCTTGTCCGTCCGTCCATAGCAATTTGGTTTCCGGAGCATAACTTAAGTTCCATTTGGCCCACAATTTTCGAACTTCATAGGATGAGTGTGCGTATTAAGTAAAATACCCCTATTTATTTTTGGGTCACAAGGTCAAAGGTCAAGGTCACTATTACCTTAAAACTGAAAACAGTGTCCGCTCAATAACTTAAGTATTAATCAACCTACAGCTGTAAAATTTTATAGGATGAACAGCCATGTCCAATACATGACCCCTAGTGATTGTAGGGTCAAAAGGTCAAAGGCAATGGGTCACAATGATCTTTACCATGAAAATTTTGATTTCTAGAGCATAATTTAAGTTTTATTTGGCCCACGATGACCAATCTGCAAAGGATGATTGTCAATATTGAGTAGAAGACCCCTATTAATTCATTAGTCACAAGGTCGAAGGCTAAGGTCTTTTTTTAATCTTAAAACTGAAAACGGTTTTCGCTCAATAACTTAAGTATTTATCACCCTACAGCTGTATAAGTTTATAGCAGCCATGTCCAATAAAGACCCCGATTGATTTTAGGGTCATAATGTCAAAGGTCAGGGTCACAATGACCTTAAAACTGAAAATTGTGGTTTCCGGAGCATGACACAAGTGCTATTTGGCTTACATTTTTGAAACTTCTTAGGAAGATTGCCTTTATTAAATAAAATATCTATATAGGGGTCACAAGGTCAAAGGTCAATATCAAATGACCTTAATATTGTTAATAGTGCTACAACTGTCAAACGTCATAGGATGATCACTTTTATTGAGTACATTAATTAAATGCCATAAAATATTTGCATATATCATATTATACCCCATGGCGTCTTTCTGCCCATCCTTCGTAGCTTTTTTACTTACAACATAACAACTTGATGGTGGTGCTTTGGAAACAGCAACTGTATAAATATGAAGGTTCTTCAGCTATAAAGAAGGATTGCTTTTTGAAGGAAGTAATACTTTTATTTATTTTAATGTGTTTTTGTGTCAATTTCTTTAATTTATGTATACTTTGTATTTTCTTCATAAATGAGTACAGTGAAAGATGGCTGTTTTCCAGAAGTCACATTTTTTTTATTCATTTAAGACTAAGAGTTTTCGGGCATATAATGATCCGCCTAGCGGTGCTCTTGTTTCACATTTCGTCTGGGAAATAAATGTAGTTTAAAATCTTTCTTCTCTTTATAATTTGAAAAAATCCATGGAAATATTGACGACATAAAAACGACATAAACCCTGCCGTCAATGATCACGTAATAGAGTGCTTTCTCTGAAAATAGTGTTGTACAGTG